ACCCCTTTTCACAAACAAGCTTCCAACCTTGTCCGTTTGCCGCGTCCCCACAAGTTGAGCCCCAACTGACAGGTGAGTCTCCAGCCCCATTGCTCGTTATCAGCGGGCCCGTACGGCGGGCAACACACTGCTTAACAGACACGCCTCAATCTCGCACCTGGCCTCGTCTCCCCCGTTCCTCACTACTTCGCATGATAGAATTGAGAGTGGCGCCACCAGAGGGTAATTCCCAACCCGACGGCTTACCTTCAACCGGTTCGTACAACGGGGCGAACAATGCACCGACTAGTCGGTAAGTATCCAGCCTCATGGCTGACCCCTTCACCTCTTCGTTCGAGCGGATGGACAGGATCGGAATGAATCTTCCGCTATAGCCTTCTACTGTATTGCTTTCGCGCACGCCCTTTTCATTTCGGCTCTCTTTCTGCTAACATTCGTGCTAATCTGACTCCATTATCAGAATCGTCTCGCCAAAGAAGCCCGGTTTAGAGTCCTGGTTTGCTCGATTTGATTAAGGATCGAGCAAACTCCACCACTTCGTGCCCTGCCAGTCTCGTCTCCTACTCCTGAATGTATACAATGTAGTTTTCCATCTACGTTCTCTCCCCTATTAACTTATCTCCCACCACTCCACTCCAAAAACTAACATCACTACTAGATTCGCAGTACCCAAGAAACCCCACCTACAATTTTGTTTCACCTGATTTCGCAAAGAATCGAGTGAAATTGATATTCCCTATTCCCACCATATCCACTAATACCATAGCTCAGCGCACGTTTTTCCCCTATTAACTTCTAACTTGCTAACTTACTACTAAATCTAACATTGGATTTGGATTCGCCCGCCTCCAAAACCCCAGGTTAAACCCCCTCTTTCCTCAAATTCGCAGAGGCATGAGAAAGATAAATACTTTTTCACCTAGCAATATCTACTCCCGCTGCCCCTCCAGGCACCACTTTCTTTTTCCTGCCTCCCACTACACACCACCATTTGCGGATCCGTTCTTACCATCGGACTCGCATGGGGCTAAGACCCTCGGATCGTCTCTCCCCTCTCTCGATTCCGCTGAAGGTCGAGAGAGTCGTGTTTTTCTCAGTGCGCTGAGCTCACCACCCCGCCATCTCCGTTCTCACCCCCGAATGCACCTTGGCGCGGATCCCGCACAGGTTCATTCGTTCCTCTTTGCCCTTCTCCTCGTAACTTTCACTCTCCCGCGATCGCTCCTCCTACTACTTGTCTCCCTATAGCCCCTCCGCTCTTCGTCTCGCCTTACTGTCCTAGCTCCTGTCGCCCGCTGCCTTAGTGCCTGCCTTACTCTCTTGATGCTAGTGCAGACGGCCCGACATAGGTCAGTTTCTCGACATAGCTCAGTTGCCCCGACTACTTGGAGGAAACTTCGGAGGAAACTTCGGAGGAACTTAGTTTCTTTGGTGCGACGGCCTCCCACCGATAACGGACCTCGCAGCCGTCTACTTCGTAGTGGCCGCTGGTCAGCTCAGTCGTGCTAACTCTCCCAAGGGAGACCTTGAAATCTTTTTTTCCTCCCGCATCGGTATCCCAGGATCCGATGAGTCGATGACGCTCCGCACGTAGCAGCAACTCGATGGTCCCCATCTTCGAGTGTCCCCTGGTCACCCCGCCTTTCGGGCCCCCCACATCCAGTTCCTTCATAGGTAGCCAGTCGCAGAGCGGAGGGCACGACTCTGCAGCAAGGCCTTGATATGGCCCAGTGCAGATCTGGACGGTGGTAGCAAATTTTCAAATGAGAACTTGACGACCGAAGTGGGGGAAGGGTTCCGTGCGGCCGGTCCTTGCAGTCCGCAGCCCGCCCCGATGCATGGTCCGCCATCTTTCCCGCCCCAACGGGCATGCACACACTCAAACCACTCACTGTCTCACATGCACGTCGAATTCTGCCAGTCAACCAACTAAGGTGCATGCCTAAGGCCTTTGACCGTCGCGACGACCCTAGGAACAAAGAGTCGGCGTCGCGTCTAAGCCAGAAAATGCCGATGTGTAAAAAAGTGAAAATAGAATAATAACAAAATACCTAGAATTTATAGCCGACGCCTCCGTCGGCAAAACCAGGGAGGATAGCCTCGCCAGGCCCCCGACCCCTCGGTCCCTTCGCGCTACTCTAATCCTCGCGTCGTCGATGCTCGGTCTCGATCCCCGAATCTCTTTGATGAAAGTCCAATACTTCAACCAATAGTGTCAGGCCCAAGTCTGGGTCTAGTTTTGACGGACACCTTAAATAAACTGGTATCGTACGATGCGCGGACCCACCAAAACACTTCAGGTCGCATTGTTGTCAATGCCGTCATCCGCACGTACTCATAGGTCACAGGCAAACGCATCAATAAAAGACAGAATCCTTTTACTCCTGCTTGAGCAGGGGAAAAAAAAAAAAAAAAAATCTGGTCGGCGGCCACGCCGACTCTTTCAACAAATAAAAATCACGCACGCCTCCAGCCTGCGCCCCCCCACATTCTCTACTCTAGTCAACCATCGGGCCAATGTAAACTGCAGACGCCGCCACGTCTCGTGCGGTATGCTCAACTTTTATCTAAACTTATTTCTTGTTATCTGCAAAAACCAGGGCGGATACCCTTGTAAGGGTATTCCTCCGACAGCTTACCGGACCATATTAAGCGAAATTCCCGTCGCTTCGCAGAATCAGAAAACTATAAATTCATCCATAACTCCAAATGCTGACGAGAATGAAACCAACCCGATCAACCGACAGTCTCAGGTTCAAGGCTTGCATCAATCCATTCTAAACACAACTTGATGCTGCCAGGATTTTAACCTGGGCCTCCATTGTCCTGATACTAGGACAGTGGGATACTCCTCACTATACTACAACACAAGTCTTAATGGATTCCTCAACTGTCCTCTCCCCTTTGTCCTAGACAAACGTCGGCTTCTTGTTAGATGTCCCTTGTCTCTACCCTGCAGGCAGGGCCATAGCCAGGGACACGGACCCTAACCGAGACCTTTGAAGGTACTCTTGCCTCCTTCCAACAAATTTCGCAATCAAACATATATAGTTATACAAATCTCATCATAGACTCTTCCTGCAGTCTAGTATAGGAAGGTCATGTCTTTATCCCGACCCACCATAGTCTGGGTGATCGTGCTAGATCTACGGCCCACCACGTTATTATAGCGGTAGTGCCCTCGCAGGTTGCGCTACGATAGGCTTTTTCCTGATACGCATTCAATCAAGACTCAAAAAGACTCGACTCGACTCCTATCGCACGCCGTTCCGCCGGAGAAACCCTCCCAGGTGGCCACACCCTTTCAAGTTTTTACTCCCTTGGCAAGACGTAGACCCGCTGGTCAGGTTACGCCTATCAGCAGCCAACACTAGGGGTTACGCCCTAGTGATGCTAAACTTTACCGTAGCTTGGTATTCTCATAAATGCCCCAAGATTAGCACAAATGGTTGGATGGTGTATCGCAACAAAGCAGGCCTACCGCGAGACTACGCAAAGGTCTGCCACACATAAAAGATATTTACCAGTCCTCTGTGGGACAACAGAATGAAACACGACAACCTCTCCACATTCATAAAACAAAATCACGGTCAGATTCACAAGGCAGTGACCTCCCTACTTGATCAGAGCAAGAAGACCACCTCTCAGTGACATCTCCCAAAATAAATCACATTTGCGACCTCCAAAATTTCATCAATGGCCAAGCAAAAACTTGGTCCTTCTCGTTAGTCTTTATCATTCAAAACCAGCTTCCCACGTCATTAAATCTATTAGCCGTCTTTCATACGAAGGAGGTCTCTCTTAATAGGTCTCCCAGCCATCCCTTCCCTTTTTAGAATGAGCTTTCATATGACCTTTTTCTTAAAATATCTCCCTTCTCTTAAGATAAGTCTCCCAACAACCAGAATATTATTTTCCTCTCTTGATGATGTTTTAACCATAAAACAACTCAAACGGAGGGACCAACTTATGGGTCCTCATTACAACTCAATCCATAAACATTTGGTATGGTAAGCATTCGAGTCTCATAGACTCATAAATCCAATAGGATTCTCACAGTTTTCACAGAGACAGATTGCACTCCCTCTCCTTATACCCGGCCCTATCACCCGCCCGGGGGCAGATCGCACGAGTATACCGAAGAGTAGACAGTTCACATCCATTCACATTCATGAAATACACAGCATACGAGATGTTTCTCATACATCTCTCACACAAAGTCATCCTACATTAGGATAAAACCACACATGTGAGAGTGATTGTGATCGTCATCTACAGGGGAATAGTCTCGGATAAAACTCGACTCAAAAATACACTAAGGGATGAGATATCTCATCCAAAAAACACACATAGTAGCCCAGATCCATAACTCACTCGGATCAATCAATGTCACTCTCAATATGGTACATGGTCAACCATACTGCTTAGAAATGTTGTTGAGACAAGTACTGAATCTGAATGTCAAAGTCAAGGAAGAATATCCTCATCATACACATGATATCTTACATAATCCTGACCCTCATATCAAAAAAATCTCAATAGGAAACATACGTTGTAATCCTCCATATGCACAATTAATAGCGTAAATATAGACACTCTCAAGAATGCAAAAAAAACAAAAACTAAGATAGCATAAAACCTCGGCCCTAATGTACATACTCTGCTCATCCTTAAGTTACCCTAACAGTAATCTACACATAGGTAAACCAGTCCCTACTCACTCATCTCCTCCTGGTTTTGCCTATATAACTGAGCTCTGCCCCCATCGACAGATCGCTCTACTATTCTACCCTGTCTATCATACATCTTACCATCACTCTTAGTAACCTTCCCTGCTGCCTTGTCCTTCAAAAACTTAGGACACTGCAAGGCCCTATGTTCCTCTTTCTTATAGAAAAAAAAGGTCGGGTCGTAAAACTTTCTTTGTCTCTTCTTCTTTCTCTGAGACCCTGGTAATGAAGGTGCCTCGCTAGCCTCTCTGGCTACTTCATAGGATTGAGCATACCCATAGGTTCCTCAAGTCTCGTCTCTAACTTATGAGTATTCAACTCCAGTCGTATCCCAATTCCCTCTGGTCTTTACTCTGGCGTATCCAACCTCTGTGGCTTGCCCTCGATAACGTCCTCCATCACAATCACCACCTCTCTCTCAGGAGGCCCCTCCACCCTCTGCTCAGGCGAAAACAAACTCGCCTCTTCCTGCATGGTGTCAATTGCCTCTACAAGCACGTCCATAGACCCTTCCCTTGTACCCTGAATCGGCTCGCTGCTAGTTGTCTGCTGCCCCCCCTCGATTGGTAATGGCATAACCATTGTCATGGGTTCCACAACTGCTGTTGGCAACGTGGCGAGTTCACTAGGTGCCCTGAACTCAAAGGCCTCTCTCTCTGCCTCTCTCCTCGCCTTTGCCTCCTCGGGCTCCAGGATGACTCTTCCCATGGGCGGCTCCAGCGGGAGTCCAACTGCGAGATCCGCCATCCTGGATGTCCCGAGTCCTGCCCTCTCTGGAGCTGCCAATCCCTCGCCATGCTGGCCAAACAACTCGTCCCACATTTCCTTGATTCTGCATGGTTTAGGTTGTGAGCCTGGTGGCTGATCGGGGAGCGCTCCTGCCGCCTCTGATCTTTGCCTTTCCTGCCAAATTTCCTCCATGCGCTTCCCAACTCTAGCCCACTTCTCCTCGGCTGTCTCCCCTGCCGGTACTCTCCCTTTCGTGCGATGGTCCGCTCTTTCCGGAATTTCAGCTCCCATCTCTCCCTCTGCTCGGCGAGGCTCTCGTGGTAGCTCCGTAGGTACAGGCTCCTCTATATTAGGATGCTCTTGGGCATGCGCTGCCAGATACCTATCTATCGTAGAAATGGCCTCTCTCCTCCATCCCGTCCTCTCTCGCTCCATCTCTATCCTCACCCCTGGCGAAAGGATTGCCTCTGGTGGTGGGGACAGCATCTCCTCCTGCTGAGGCTCCTCCCCCTCCTCGCGAGCGATCTCTGGTATGGTGTCTGGCTCCAACTCTGCCGCATGCTCCTGAGGTGGAGTGTCCTCCTCAACCTCTATCACCTCCTCCATAGTGCGCCCTCTCTCAACACTCTGCCTTATCTCCCGCTCAGGCTCATGGACCTCTTCTTGTGGCATATCTCCAGTCGGCTCGTCATGCCCCTCAACAGCCTAAGGCACTCTCCACTATGAAATATGCAGGTGCGCCTCTAGTTCATGCAATGACCCTCTGGATGACGCCACCTCCTCTCCCGCGTGCGCTCGACTCCGCTCTAGTAAAGCGCTGGAAGACCACCGGGCCTATCCCACATTCGGGGTATGCCCCTCGCTCCTCAGCCTCAGGTATTGACTCCTCCTCTCACCTAGTGAGCGCCTTCCGTCCTCCTCGCGATGATATGGCCTCTCTGGGTTTCGGGTTCCTCTGCCTCTTGCTCCTCTGCCGTCTCTCAACCCTAGGCTGAGGTGGCTTTGGTCGTCGAAAGGCCTTCCTCAAATGTGCCCTGCAACTCTCCCAGTCCCGGGCCATATCCCTGATCTGCCTGGCCAATGGTCTCTTCGCCTTCCTAGTCCATAAGGGTAATGTCCGCGCCCACTCATCCCTCAATATGCGCTGATCGTGCATGAACTGCTCGAAAGTGGCGATGAAGTCCTCCACATTCTCAATCTCTAGGCGGATTGGCCTGCCATCTGGCCCCACAGGTGGCGGTCGTAGCTCCTGCATCCTCATCTCCACCTCCGGTCAGATCCTTGCCTCCCTACGGATCCGTGCGATGGGCTCCTCAAATCTGCCAGCTCCCCTCAGTCTGTCAATCCTCTGAGCCACTGTCCATCCAATGTGCTCCACATATCCTTGGAAATCATCCAAAAAGAGCTCTATATCCCCGTCATCGTATACAGGCGTGTGCTCCCTGTGGCGAGACCCATGCCGCTCGTAACCTCCCGATGCTCCCAATGGCCTCTGTGGCGAGACCCATGCCGCTCGTAACCTCCCAATGGTCGCGTCCCCCTCCCTCCTCTTGGCATGGTTGTCTTCACAAAGTCAGACCTGCACAACAAGCGAAGGACACGACAGACACACATCGGGGTAAGCAAACATGTGAAAATAAAGCAGGCTCAGGTCAGACCAAGCACACCCATCAATCACACCTATCTAATCTACACATTCTATCATCCTTTCTCTTTTCTATGTCTTATCTATAACTCTTTCCTACATACTTAGGATCCTACTTTAGTGAAGTTGGATTGCCTATCTCACCTCTTCTCTTGCCACAAATTTTTTCAGTCTCGTTCCTAATACCCAATCCTTCCATTCTGTCTCATCCAGCTCCTCAATCTGGTAGGCTCCGAAATCTCCATATCGTACGATCCGATAGGGTCCTATACACCTTTTGTCCAGCTTTCTGGACCACTACTTCTCCAGGGACGAGTCATATAGCAGTACGACGTCTCCAACTGCCTAAGGTACCTTCCGTACTCGCGCCAACTGGTCCCAACGAGCCTTATCATCCATGCGGTTCTTCTCCACTTGGTTGGACGCTTCCTGAACCCTTTCCTCAATCGCACCCACCTGTCCCGCTCGAATGTCGAGCAGTTCCTCGAAGGAAAGGTTGGTTTCTAAGTTCTGACGCCTCCAAGTCTTTAGGAAGCTCTCAATTGGGACGGTGGCGTGTCTCCCATACCATAGCGTGGCTGACGCGTACTTAGTGGTCCTCTTTACCGTAATATTCTCGACGAAAAATGCAGCCCTTAGGTATCTTGGCCACTGATTAAGCCTACCTTCAGTCAATTTAGCCAGACGGTTCGTGATGGTGTTATGCCCTCTTTCAACTGGAGCATTTGCCTGGGGGTGTGCGGCCGTGGTGTAATTGGCTACCACGCCGTACCTTGACAACAACTCTTGCACTTCCTGTCATGTAAACTCTGACCCTCTATCCATCACGAACTCTCTGACAAAGGGATAGCGCAGGTAGTACTCCTCAATGCAGCTTACAAAAACCGATCCGGTCTTTGTACGAATGACCCGTCCATCTACAAAAATTATCGCGCGCATAAAAGATATAATTGTAGCCATGATCCCCAATTAGCATCAAGAGTAGACGACATAACTTTCTAACCTTGGATGCAGCGGCTCTCCTGACCTCAGAGGAGACTGTTTTTGGCAAGGTACGCAGGAACGACAGAACTTGCTGACCATCTCCATCATTCCATCCCAATAGTATAGCTCGCTTATCTTGGCATACGTGACACTAACTCCCCGGTGTCCTCCTACAATGTCACCATGAAGCGCAACTATAATATCAATCTGACGGTTTCTGCCACACACAACCCTCATGGGTTTTTCACTTGCCTCTTTACAAAAAGATGACCATCTCTCACCAAATAGAGATGCCTCATCTTTTGAGTCATTTCGCTTGCATCCCTATCCCGTATCTCACATGATAGGAGAAACCCCAGCTCCAGGTATTTTCCATCATACTCCTCTGCTCGGAATGCTTATTTGATCTCCCCTTCTTTAAACTCGTCATCTTGGCTTTTAGCACCTCATCTTCATTCTCAGCTGGATTCAGTGAGTTTATCTGATCAAAGTTTCCCTACAGAAGTGTATTGACGAGGAGATACATCCCTCTCATCAATTTATCGTGCTTCTCTACCTGATCTGGTCCTTCCTCTATCGTTCTTACCTCCTCCACCAGACTATGCGTACATGCTAGTGCCAATTTCATCATCCATTGGACATCTTTGCCGCCCCATGGGTCCTCTTCTTCAAAAGGCTTGAGCACCAGCTCTGCCTTCTGTTGATACCCTCTGGGTGCAATCCAACTGGGATGACCAACGCAATTTGGCACTCGCAAAGACCATTTTTTAATGTGAAGACGGATATTTTCCTCTTGATCCAGGAACCCATCAACTGGGGGCGTAGTCTCTACTGCCTTCTCTTTCTGCTGGTCTTAGTCGATGCGGCTTAACGCATCCGCTCTATTCTTGTTCCCAGGGATCCTTTCTAACTCAAAGTTAAACATCCATATGTAAGTCAACCATCTGACAACTGTAGGATCTGATGAACATAGTTTCTCAATGAATATGCAAGCGCGGTTGGGTCCAACCTTAATATGAACCTTCTGCCAAAGATATAATTCCTGAAGATCCTGAGGCAGTGAAGGACAGCGAGAGTCTCTTTCTTAAACTGAGAGTAATTCCTCTTTCTTAAACTGAGAGTAATTCCTCTCAGTTGTGTTCAAAGTTCGGCTTTCAAACCTCAGTGGTCTCTCCTTTCCTTCAACATCTGTCTGGATCAAGACTCCTCCCAAGGCAGTCGGTCCAACGTCCGTCTCAACGATAAATGACCATCATAGTCCGGTGCTCCCAATACTAACCCTCCTTCTCGAAACTCCTCCTTCATCTTAGCCACAGCCTTCTCCTGCTCCTCACCCCAGATCCACTCCTGGTCCTAATGAACTAGCTTTCTCAAGTGCTCAGTCTTGGCAGCAAAATTCTTGACGAAGGTTCTCCAGAACCCACAGGTGTCGAGGAAGCTTCTGACATCAGTTATCGAATGGAAAGGTACTGATCATTCAGTAATCTTGTCCGTCTTTCTTGCGTCTGGCCGACTGCCCTTCTCACTACAGACGAACCCTAGGATGGTAGCCTCCCCCATGCAGTGTCTAGATTTGACTTCACTTGCCGTGAGGTTGTGCTCCTCAAGCAAGCTCAGAACTTTATCTAGATCCTGAACATGCTTCCAGACAAAGCGCCTTACTCCCGGCAAGACTTCGTCGCTCTCCTTCTCTCTCGGCCCTTTTACCGCCAAGTCATCGATATATGGCTGAGTGATATGCGGGCTGAATGACTGTATTGCTCGAATCATATGTCGTTCAACCATCGCCACAACATTAGTCCATCCTTGCGGAGCCACATTCATATGGATTAGTCCTCTAGGCGTATGCATCGCTGTCAGTGGCATGTCCAGCGGGTAGACTGCAAACTGGTCGTACCCTGAGTAGAGGTTTATAAGCGAAATTATAGACCTTCCAGCACAGGATTCTGACAGCGCGTCTGCATTTGGCAAACCTCCCGCATCTCGCATAGTCACCGCATTCAGTCGCTGCAAATCTTGCACCCACCGGAGCATCTCGTTAGGCTTAACAAAACAGAACCATGGGGACGCGTACGGCCCACTTGAGTAGTCGACGACATGCATATGTATCTTGTCGTCGAGGTAACCCACTACCTTCTTTTCCTCGTCAGGATTGGGATATCGTGCCCCTCTCAAATTTCACGGCTCATGCAGCACGGTATGAATTCGGATCATGGCAATCTTATCTACGTCCAACCGCCCTCGCTGATCATCATCGAACACATAGGCGCGATGCGTCTTCTTCATCAACTCTATCATCAGCGCTCTCTTCCGGGGTAGCAGGAACTCCGATTCTCCCACTATCAACTTTTCCTCATTCTCTTCATTGTTACGACACGGCCCCATCGCTGCTTGCTCCCTTATGCGTCGTATCAATCCTCGTTCCCGCTCATAATAAACTTGTTCATCTTCCGTGATGAGGACGAGAACTGGGCGCCACTTCTTATCTATCGTCTTGTACCGCCTTTGAGAAACCTGCTTGAGTTGTCCCCTAAAAAAGGTAGGCTTACTGCTTGTGGCCGCATCATTGCAGGGTCCCTCCTTTCGCCCGGAAGCCAATAGACTTGGGGACATTCCAACACTTGCTTCCTCAACGCCTGAATGGCGTCTGGATCCGCCATCTCGTGTATGACCACTATATCCATGACTTTGTTTACGTATGATAAACTGAGGGAGAACGCCTTACCCTTTTCTTCCTCCTCTGGCTCCATAAGAAGTCTTCGACGCTCATCCTCAGATTTTTCGATTGTAAACGAGCCAGGATTGAGCCGATTCCTTATGCTCGTGGACTAGTGTTCCGGCAAATGATTATTTCATAATTCCCACATGCCGGATCACACAAAATCAGGATCAGAGTTTCGTCGTGTTTATTAAACATCAACGTTACTGTCCTGTACAGAAATGACCTCCCAGGAGGATGCCATGGTCCACATCTGGCATGACAAAGAAGCATGCCTTGACTTTCACTCTCCCAACCTCGATAAGTACATTCGAGGCTGTGCCACAAAACACTGCCTCGCAGTTGGGTCCATGTAAAATTTCGCAATCCGAGCGATCTATCTCCAACCTAAACCTAAGTGCATCAACTTCCTGGATGATATTCATCTCTGCTCCCGTGTCCACCATTGCCACGCATTTGGAGCCTTTCACCACCAAATCCACCATGCCGCAGGCCACACACTTCCAGTCCATCTTCGTCCCTGTCTCCGCCCATTCCGCCTCCTTTGGCAGAATCACACTTAGATGGACATTCGACAATAAGCGCCGAGAGAGCCTTCCTTTTAGATCGTTGCGGACCTTAGGATAAGAAGCCAGGATCTCTTTATGACCCTCTCAAGTAACCTGTCAATTACCTTCTCTATGTCGAACCCTTCCTCCAACCGGACTGCATACTTCTTTTTCTTTGGCGCTGTTTCGCGCAGAATCGGTCCGGCTTCCTCATGGGCTCCTCTCTTCTTGGCCCTTTGCTCCGCTCTCTGGTCCTCTTCCTGGCGCAGCCTTTCATCCTACTCGTCCTCATCATCATCATCCTCTACTTCTACGGCCTCCTTTCTCTTCCCTGACTCTGACTCTTTCCGCAGAGGTTCCTGGCTTGTACTGGCCTTAGCCTGACCTCTAGTACAAACCGCCTGTTCCAGTCTTTCTTACGCCGTAGGGGGTCTAGTCATCATTCCAGACCGTGGGCCTGATCCCACGGTAAGTACTTCGGGTCGCCCTGACATCGATTCCGGGCCAGACTCATAAAGAAAGATTTTGGGAATACCGGTCCTCCAACCTTTTACTTCCTTGCAAATGTCTACCAACTTTCGCTGGTACCGGCCCATTTTCTCCCACAAGTCTTCCATCTTCCCTAGAAGGATGGATAATGACTCTACTTTTTCATTTTCACCCTCTTCGTCTGACTCAACGACTATGGATTCTTCTTTTATAGCTCCTGCTCGTAGCCTCTAAGTCACTTCTCCATGACTTTCTACCTCTTCCAGCCTAATTGGTGGGTCGTCCTTCTCCTGCCACAACCTTAATGTGGCAGGCGGCGATTGCCGCACAACTATCCTTCTTTGAGCCTCCGCCCTTACTCCGCCCGGAATCTTTCGGTCAATATATTATCTGAACTGATCATATATATCACCATCCATATTCGAATAGATCAGTCATGTCCTTTCATCTTCCCGCCTAGTATTGCAAAACCGTATAGTATGACCTTGTTTGTCACAATGCTGGCATATAGCGGTTCTCCAATCAAAACGGGACCTCCCTCTCCCCTGGCTCCCTTGATTTCCCTGACCCTGATAGCCTTGGTTATCCCATTGTCCCCCTCGGCCACCGCCATTTCTGCCACGTCCCCTTCCGCCACCTCTTCGTTCATTGCCCTGATTACCCTGGCCTTGGTTGCCTCCACCTGCCACACTGCCTTGCGAACTTGGCACGGGCGACGGAGGCGGTGCCATGGGTTGGGCATGTGTTGCGGGATAGCTTGGAGGTGGCATACTCGCTTGGGGCCCAGCGTATGGTACCATTTGCCCAGACGGAGTCGGGCTTCACCATGGCACAAAGGTGTTAAACACAGGCCATGGCCACTGCCCAAATGGTGGTACCGCTACTTGCGAGGGTCCCGCACTACTTGACGGAGCCGACGCACTTGGCGATGCTACTACCACTGCTTGGGGCGCCTGCCTGCCCCCCCTGCGTTAAGTTGCGCTGTTTGCGTAGCACCTTCGAGAGGTGTTGGGGCACCGACTCCTCTTCTTCCCATTCCTCTTGGACAACTTCCTCTATCACAGGATCCTTCCCTTTTCCTTGGATCGTCGTTACTACTTTCTTTTGTATCACCGCGTCCTTCTCATAGCCCAACTCTGCAAGCACGTCGGTGACGATCCTTTTCACTTCCGGGGTCCCTGAAGCGGTTGCATCTCGTTCTTTCCTTTTTCGTCTTTGCAAGCGCATCTGATAATGCTCCACCGGGTCCAACTTCCTTCCTCGACCCCTTTGTCGATAGTGGCCCAGGTGAGCTTCGCACTGCCCCCTCCATGGCTTGTCAACTCCGCCGCTTCCGAGGTGGTGAGCAACCCCAGGAAGATAGCATACTTTGCTTCTTCAGAGATCCCAGGGACCTTCCTCGCCTTCTTTTTAAATTCTTGCACGAAGGTCCCCACTATAGTGAAGTCCTCCCTGTTCATTGCTTCCAAATCTGCAGTGGTCAAAAGGCCATCGCCCATCCTGTACTTCCTTTGCATGCCATCTTCGAATCTTGCCCAACTGCCATTAGCTGCGTTTACAACCTTCTTTACCTCCTGGTAATGGCCATGGAGCACATACTTCAAAGTCCGCTGGAACTTCACAGCGTCAGATAGTCCAACTAACGCTTGTTCCACCAAATCAAGCCAATCAGAGACCCGCTCCCCATTGAAGTGGAAGGTATTGACCTTGGGAACGTTGCTCTGCGACCTCTCACGCATGTCCAAGGCTTCGACCAAATCGTCGATTGTTAGGACCTTCCCGGTACCGTAGAAGAAAACTTCCATTCAGCGTCCTGACTTACCACGACGCCTATCGGGCTTCCTAGACAGTCACTTAGCGATTCAGATCGAGTAGTACTACATATTCCTTCCCTTTGAACTCATCTTAATAGGCCCCATTTTTTTTTATTTAAAGGGTTTCCTTTATGACCCCCTAACCTAGGCAATCAATCAAATCAAAGATAAAACTTATTAATAATGTTTCTCCACTATTATTAGCCTAGCAAGACATCACGTACTCTGTCTTTTCTCATATGACTATTCTCTCTCAATCTTATACCTGGATGTCGTTCCACCAGGGACAACGATAAGCTTCCGTTATCCCCGACAACGACGCCACCTGTCGAGCGCATCGGTCTGACACCACACAAAACGGGACGGAACCCTCTTGGCCGCGTCACGCAGGAGTTTGTCTTATCCTCGTTACAAATGCATATGGAGCTTCCGCAAACCGCTCCGGCCGAGTGCACCAGCCATACCTCTCGCGATCCCCTACGACAGGATAGGGCCTACGCGAAGCACGACTTACCTTCACCTTACGGGAGTTGTCACCTCCCTTCGGTGAGCGTATCCCCACCGAGCTAACAATCCACAATACAAAAGCTAATCAGGTACAATCGCAGAGGTGGAACAGCCGAGGGCGTTTCTCGTACCCTGTAGCATAGGGGGTACGCGCAGTATTGCGCCTCTATCGGACCCGCACGCGAACCAACATCTTGGGGGGCTGAGGCACCACGCACGACTCGTCGTCGGTCGACTAGGACGCATCCCACACTCCACGCGCACACCACTCTAAAGAACATAAAAATAAAAACACGCACGCATACATATACACGAAACGACACAAAACAAACAACACGACAACACTGCTAGTCCCTTAGTAGTCATCCCATAACTCTCGGATGCGGAAATCGGATAGGCGTTGCGCGTGAGACTTGGTATAAAAGCGCGCGGACGCAGGGCTAACTCATATTGACTAGCAATGTATGAATACGCAAGCAGTCGCAATGATAACGTCCTATGTAATGCCCATAATCGAGCGGTCCCTCGCGGATCCGAGTACCGCTAATGACACTCAAGTGTAAGACTCGAAGTATCGTGAAGGCTTACCCCTTCACGATATTGCACGGCTGAAAGAATAGTCGTACGGCCTCCGTGACACCTCCGACTTTTAGGTTGAGTGTCTTGGCAGGCAGGACAAATAGGCTATGCGCGGGGAGAGATCGCTTCCATGCAGAGTCTAGGACCTGGGATGTCGTGGACAAGGACTTTGAATCCGGACCCAGGACCAACGTCCGACCAAGAAACCTTTAAGAAGCATTCAACAATAAAGCGGGGCTTTCTTCCTTTTCTCAATCTCAAACCCTATTTAACCCTTAAGCGTGGACCCTCTCAGGCCACGTGAACATCCAACATAGGCACATACGCATATACATGTAAATGGGAATAAGTATGTGACGATCACTTCTCACAATCACAGTGGGACTCCTCACAGCCGTATATATGTGTGTGATAGCAGGCAGTCAAATCCAAAATCCGAACCACATGACATACCTGCAATCACATCAAAGAGTCGATGAAAAGTCAACGCACTACACGGAGTCAACTTCAACCAACCTCTATATTCGTACCCCTCGCTTTAACCATGCAAGTCTCATGCCTTGTCTAACCAACCATAATTAAATACTTAGTATCTTTGTTAAATGGCCATTCAATAAAAGTCCGGGTGAAAAACCTTAATAAAACAATAAAAATCACCAGGGCTAAAGACCTTTAGGTTGAGTATTTGAGGATGAATTGGAGTTGAGTCATAGACCGACGAATCGACAACCGACCTGTTATTAGTGATAACAGAAGGTGGTCCTTGTGGGATCAGGCTGAATCTAGTCCTGATTTCGAATCAAATGTCCAACAGGACATGTAACACAAGACAGGCTAATCCCCAAGCTAAATCTATGAGTTCGAATTGAGAGTGATCTCTATATCACGATTTCATCAAGAATCGTTCAACTCAACTAATCCCGAGTCTACCTCTAAGTCAGTGACTAATGAAAAGGTAGACCTTTGACAAAATCTCCTCTATATAATTGTCACCTGTCAATATATAATCTAACTCCTCTAAACTAAGAAAACTTCGGCAACGCTTCCCATAGGAAAAGTGTCTTTCCAGAGATTATAATAACTCAAATACAAAAACAGAGTCCAAACTCTAATTCTGGAAAGTCAAATTTTGTCCAACTCTGTGAATTAGTAAAAATTTGGGCAGCATCTCCTTTAGAAAGTTAGACTTCCCAGATTTATACTAAGTCAGTTAGGAACTCATAAGTTAGACTTGAGTTCGGCTTTAAGACAAAGTTCAACTAAACCCTTAGATTTGTAGAAATTTCAGCAACGCTTCCCGTAGAGAAAGTGTTATTCCAAGATTTATACAAAGCTCAGTTCAGAATCTAAAGTGACTTTAACTTCTCGGGGTCCAATTTTGTCTAACTCCATGAATTAGGAAAAAATTTGTCTGCACTCCCTTTAGAAAATGAGGTTTTTCAAATTTTTACTAAGTCAAAGCGTCAGAAAAACTGGACCCTTGAAAAGACAAAATTTGATTAACTCCTTGGTTTTGTAGAAATTTCGGCAGCGCTTTCCGTAGATAAAGTGGCTTACCAAGATTTGTACAAGACGAAGTATAATAAAAGATCCCAGAAAATGCAGAAATTGATCTAAGTAAAAAATAGAACTTAGCTCAGAAAATGCAAGAATTGAAACTAACTCCTATGGGTCTAGCACGTGGCGAGCAACTAACGCAACTACCTATGAACTAAAACTCATACTAAGTAATGATCTCACTAAGCCACATGCAGGCCAAACCACAAAGGTAAGTACTCTCACCATCCCAAAGTCAATTTATGAAATAATAGTTCATAGTCTCTCAATGATTTATCCCTTTATACCCAGTTTACATAAAGAATAAAGCTAGACCACCCAAACTTATGGAACATGTCTAGCTCAGCCATTGAGTATACACAAACACAGGGCACAACAACTTTTCTCTTCTTTGAGCATATGACTGGGCCACCCTAGTCGCCCTTAACTGTTTAAGTATCCCAACTTTATATAATTGTCTACACTTAGTCTTTTGAGGTAGCATATAATTGAATCGATCATCTTTAGCTCAAGATTCTGTCTGCCCCTTCGTACCACAAATTTATTCTTAATTAGTACTCTCTTCAGTTGGTGATAAGTTATAGTCAGACCACCCAAACTTATGGAACCCTGTCTGACTAGCTTGTTCATAAGTAGGATAGTAATAAAGTATAACCAAGTTATAGACTTCTGGTTCCCGAATGTGCGCGACGTAGGACCAAGACATGTTCCAAGAGCACCCAAACTTATGGAACATGTCTTGTTCCTCAACCTGGTTCATTTCTTCTAAAATCAAAGAAGGAAGAGGCTGAGTCACCCAAACTTATGGAACATGCTCAGACCTCCTCGTTCAGAAACTAAAGAAACTGAAAGAAACCCAAAGTAAACAAGGTGACCAAGCCACCCGAACTCATGGAACATGCTTCGTCCCTGAAAGTCAATCACAGTCAGCCCTCGCAAATCAGAGCAACCAGACCACCCAAACTTATGGAACATGTCTGATTCTCTAGGCAATTCAAAATAAACATAGCACTGGGCCTTCCCAAACTTATGGAGACTTGCCCAACCTTTGGTTGACCCATTCAGACACAAGTAATACAACCTTTCTTCCATCCTTCCCCCAGATGCAATCCCACAATCTGCTTTCAGTCAAACAATAAAACTGAAACTGACATTGCGCATACATTCGGCTATTTAAGTCTTGTTTGTCCTGAAATTCAAACTGAAAAGTCAAAGTAGGGATGCACACAGTATACTCAGTCAAATATAGTAAGGAATACAGATAATGGTTGTAACTGGGCTTAGAGAAGGGAAGCAATGGTTACCTCTCAGTTCCCTGCCTCCAGAACTCCTCCAGAGTTCCGACAGAGCTCCCGCAATCGGTGGGTTGACTCCCCACAGAGTCTTGCTACGGTCCTACGTGTTGCAATCCCGCATGCCGCCTTCCTCTCAGAACTGGACTAGACTTAGAGTAAGAAAGGCAGACAGAGGGGTTTTAGACTCTCGAGATACAGCAGAGGGACTGACTCAACTCCTAGAAGAGGGCCTTGTCCCCTTAATTCGTCTGAGAGCCTCACAATGATGACCTAAAACATGCTGTAGTCTGGTCAACTGCAGTCGAAATGTTAATCGTCGGCTCTCTAATAACCTTTCAGACCCGCAGCAACACCCTTATTTACGAACTTAGACGTTCAGTACTTAAGTAACGCCGGCCAACAGATAGATCTACAACCATCTGTGGCAACTTTGCTCACCGAATTGGGCATTGCAGCGGTCAACTGGTAAGCCCCCAGACCTACAGCTCACCTGCCTGTCCCCTAAGGTTAGTATTGCGACCTTGTTCTTCATTCTTCGTTGTTCTAACCGGTGGGATGACAGCCGTTCAACCGGCAGGTAAGTGAGCTGCTTTGTCTCCTGTTACTCCTACCGGTAGGATGAACGGCTCGTCGGCCCAGCAGGTCAGCCCACAACCTCTACAGCAAGTATGCCCCCCCTTTCCCTGACGAGATGCGCAGGGCACTGGTCAACAACTAAATTCTACCTTGCTCCTTACTCCTCCTTGCCTGTAGGGCAAAAGCAGTGTACTTGGCAATCAGACATATTGCAACTCTCCTCGTCCCTATGTCAATCAATGAGAGGAGCAGCCCCTTTCCACAAACAAGCTTCCAACCTTGTCGGTTATCCGCGTCCCCACGAGCCGAATCCCAACTGACAGGTGAGTCTCCATTCCCACTGCTCGTTGTCAGCGGGCCCGTACGGCGGGCGGCGCACTGCCTAACTGACTCGCCTCAATCTCGCGCCTGGCCTCGTCTCCCCCGTTCCTCATTACTTCACATGATAGAATTGAGAGTGGCGCCACCAGAGGGTAATTCCCAACCCGACGGCTTACCTTCAG